ACACTCAAAGATCAGAGCATACTTGCCGATGGTGACATTAATGAAGGTAAACAATGGTTGGGTGCTACTCATGTATGATTTGGCTATGTTTGTGAGGTGACGTAGATGTTTGTGTAACAGAGCTTTCTGGTATGATACGACAGATATTGATATGCTCGAAAATGTTGAAATTGGAGAGCAGAAGCGGCGGGATGATGCTTACAAGGCTGCAAAGAAGAAAACTGGGGTTTATGATGATAAGTAAGATTCTGTTTCTATAATCTGTGAATTTGTGTAGATTCTGTTTCTATAATATGTGAATTGTGTGTCTGTTGATGAATATGCATCTGCCCAATTCTAGCACATATATGTAGGCTTTGCTTGGCAGGAAGGATGGAAAGGAGTAAGGATGGAAAACTTCTTGTCCGATGGTTAAAATTCATAACCACTTTCCTATTTTATAGCTTAAACATTAGACTAACAAATTTTCTATCCTTAGCCCTTTCCATCCTCTCTACTAAGTGAAGCCTTAATCTCAAACTACTTTAGGTTGCTACATGAATAAATTTCCTTTTCTCTACCAAACAGTTAATTCCATACTCTTTGAGAAACAGTAATTACTTCAGCCAATCTTACTAATTGATGTTGGACAGGAAAGAGGATCAGATCAGCCAGAAATTTGTAACATGTTGCATGGAACAAGAAATTAAGGATTTGAGACTAAATTTTAGCATTAATTGAGCTCAAAAGTATGGGAAATGCAGGGGCATTTAGGTATTTTTTAATGAGGTTTGGTATTGGATTAAGTGTGGGTTGAAGAACTGGGGTTTACCGTTTAGAAGCCTTTTTTTTATGTTACAATGTACCCTTTTTTGCAGTATAATTTGCCTATTAGCAAAATTAGTATTTACTTTTAATGTGGATTCTCCTGATTTAGGTTCAATGATGAGCCTGGTTCAGAGAAAAAAATCCTGCCACAATATGACGATCCAGTTGCTGATGAGGTTAGTTTATAAGCTTTGTCCTCATGCTTAATCTTTCTTTTCCCTTTTGAATATCCATTAAATTTTATCTTCAAAATTCCCTTGTATTTTATTGGAAGAAAAGTGTCATTTGGTAATTGATGGCTGTTTGTACTTAATATTTATTTTCAGGGGGTAACTCTGGATGAAAGGGGGCGCTTTACTGGTGAAGCGGAAAAAAAATTAGAGGAGGTAATGTGTTTTTAATGGTCTTTTTTACCTGTTATTACAAACATATTTTAACATTTTCCTGCTAATGATGTCCCTTCCCTCTGTTATCAGAATATTTTAACATATTTTCACTCACTTGCCAGCTCCGTAAAAGGTTACAAGGTGTTCCTTCGAATAACCGTGTTGAAGATCTTAACAATACTGGGAAGGTTTCATCAGATTATTATACCCAAGAGGAAATGCTTCGATTTAAAAAGTCCAAAAAAAAGAAAGCTTTGCGGAAGAAAGAGAAGTTGGATATAGATGCCCTTGAAGCAGAAGCTATCTCTGCGGGGCTGGGTGCTGGGGATCTTGGTTCTAGAAATGATGGTAGAAGACAAGCAATTAGAGAGGAGGAGGCCAGATCTGAGGCAGAAAAGAGAAATAATGCATACCAATTAGCATATGCCAAAGCAGACGAGGCATCTAAAACACTGCGGCTTGAACAAACTTTTACAGTTAAACCTGAGGAAGATGAAAATCAAGTGTTTGCTGATGATGAAGAGGATCTTTATAAATCCCTTGAAAGAGCAAGGAAATTGGCTCTTAAAAAGCAAGAAGAAAAATCAGGTCCTCAAGCTATTGCAATCCTTGCTACCACAGCTGCTAGCAGTCAAACTGCAGATGATCAAAATACCTCAGTTGGAGAAGCACAAGAAAACAAAGTTGTAATTACAGAGATGGAGGAGTTTGTATGGGGTCTTCAGCTTGATGAAGGTTTGGTTTCTTTTTAAATCTATGCTACATTAATTTTGTTTAAAACATGGCCACTTATTTCTTTTGTCTTGCCAGCTTCTTTATGTTCTGTTACAAATCTGGATTATAATGAAGCATGATGGGTCCTGCACTAGGGTAGGCGCATGGAATGTTTTAGGTTCTAGATTTCTCATCAGTAATATGCATCTTTTTCTCTTATTTATGAATATCTCCTTTTTCTTTTTGTCACACATGCCTCAATAACACCAGCCTACTGGACTCCTTTTTCTTTCAATAATAATGAAAAATGAATCTGATGTTTATGCTTATCATTTCTTCCTGGTAAATAGTAACTTTTATTTTATTATTATTATTATTATTATTATTATTATTTTCTTATCCTCAGAGGCCCATAAGCCTGAAAGTGAAGATGTTTTCATGGATGAGGATGAAGTGCTGGGAGCTTCTGAACAAGATAGAAAAAATGGAGAAAATGAGGTGAGTGGATGGACAGAAGTAGTTGATACTAGTGCAGATGAAAAGCCTGCTAATGAGGACAAAGATGAGATTGTTCCAGATGAAACTATTCACGAAGTAGCAGTTGGTAAAGGATTATCAGGTGCGCTGAAGCTGCTTAAAGATCGAGGAACACTTAAAGAAGGTATTGAATGGGGTGGCCGGAACATGGACAAGAAAAAGAGCAAACTCGTTGGAATTGTAGATGCTGATCGTAAAAATGATAGATTTAAAGATATTCGCATTGAGAGGACAGATGAGTTTGGTCGAATTGTAAGTACTTAAATCTGATCAATTGCTTTCTTATGTCTGTGCCACGGGATTGTGGTTCTATTTTATGTTGTACAAATGGTTTAGTGTTCTTTATTTTGCACAGAAAGGTGTGGCTTCCCATTGATTGGGAACAATGAAGAGTTGCAGACCAGATCTTTTGTATTTCATACTCATGGCTTTAACCAAATATGATGAGACCACATTTCTTGCTAAACATGGTTCCTGTTTTATGCAAACAATTTATATGGCAGGGTTATTTATTGACAGAAACTTCCTACGCAAAATAAACCAACAATTAGCTTCTTAGATTTGGCTTGGTGAATAATACAAAATAACAGAAAAACCTAACTGTGTCAAGGATTACATATGTGTTAAGACCTTGCTGAAATGTACTGTTTTTGGTATCAAATTTGCAATCTAGAACCAGTTCAATATTTATATATTTAATAATAATGTATGGGTTGTTATATTTGCATTTGAGCTTACAAATTATGACTTTCTCATCTTCTCCAGATGACTCCCAAGGAAGCCTTCCGGATGCTTTCTCATAAATTTCATGGAAAGGGGCCTGGCAAAATGAAGCAAGAGAAAAGGATGAAGCAATATCAGGAAGAATTGAAGCTGAAGCAAATGAAAAATTCAGATACACCTTCACTTTCAGTGGAGAGGATGAGGGAAGCTCAAGCTCAGTTGAAAACACCCTACCTTGTCCTTAGTGGTCACGTTAAACCAGGGTATGTTTTTTCTTTTCTTAGGTTAATCTATGATGGCTTAGTTTAAACTAAGATTTTTGCTCAACAAGTGAAACAAATTCACATATCATATCAGCTACTTGGAATTAGGATTTGCTATTTTGTTTCTTTTTTTTTTTTCTTTCTTCTGTTTCAAAGCCCTACTTTTCACATCCTCCCAGCTGAAGCTTCATCTACGTTATATTAGGCAATATATTTTGTGGTGCCTGGTGCTATGGGGCATCTATTTAGAGTTATGTTGATTTTTATCTGATAACTTAAAGTTCAGTCTCGGTTGCGATTTCCACTTATCTGTAGTTTTAAATATTAAATACCATACTATGATGATAGCTATCTTCATTTTTAATTTTCTGAATGGATATTTTATAATCTTGGTACTTGAAATCAAATTAGCCCTTTCCATTGGTAATATTTCTGTAAATCTGGGTTGCAACCTTGTGGTTGTTAGTGTGAAATGTGTTTATTGGGATTTGTCCTTGTGGGATATGAAGCTTGGTTTACCATTTTCTGCTGTTGGTATGGCTGCCATTGCATATAATTTTTGATCATTTATTAATTTAGTTGCTTGTTCATTGCATTTGAATAGGTTGCAATCCTTCCTCATTTCTCTCATGTGTAATTGATTTCCAGGCAAACGAGTGATCCTACAAGTGGCTTTGCTACTGTTGAGAAGGATATTCCAGGGGGCTTGACACCCATGCTTGGTGATAGAAAGGCAAGTTTATTCTTACCTTGTACATGTATTGGTCATTGCATTGCAAGATAATGAAAACTAGCCATGTTTTTGCTATAGAATCTTTTTCTTTGCTCAGTTACTCTGAATTCTAGCAAACGGGAAGAGCTTCCTGAAGTTCTAATTATTTATTTATTAGAACATGTAGTCGTGTGCTATTGCTGATTATGATGCTGAAGTCTTTATTAATGGGAATGATTCCCTAATGTAATATTATATGTGCTTCAAAAAACTAGACTTATATTTGTATGATTCTTTTAGTTTGACAAAAACCGTTAGTCCATTACTGCTTTAACCTGCTAGTAGTAGATATTGCATTCGTTTAATTATGTTTTATATGTCATTGCTACAGGTTGAGCATTTCTTGGGAATCAAGCGCAAGGCTGAGCCAGGGAATTCAAGCACACCAAAGAAACCTAAAACATGATGGTTTTGGCTTCTTTGCTCGTATATGCAGCTGGTAAGAAGTTGTGTTAGGATGCTAATTACCATGATGGTTTCGGTTTTCTGAAATGGACAGGGAAGCTGGTCATGAAGAAGAGATCACCCCTATCAAGCTTTTGCTCCTCAGATAACAACGAAGGATCGTCCAAGTCCTATTACTTCTCGATATTGCCAAAACTTTTTCTTCTTTTCAATTAGGAGATTGAAGAAGTCTTGAGTTTCTATCTTTGTTTTCTCCACCAGAGAATAGCTCACTCCTTGATTTACCAACTAATCCAAAGTAATTTTGTAGACCTTTTATGGCCATTTTATATAAAAAAAAAAAGAAATGGCTTTGAAATAAATAAAATGCATGATTAACTAGTTTTTTTTTTTTTCATTCGCTTCACTCAAATATCTGCACAGTATTACCTACAAACCACTAGTAAAATGCCACAAGAAAATGATTCAAGCTAATTCTAATTAACTTATGCTATATCAACACCAGCTCTAGCATGATAAAATTTGCAGACAAATACCAAATTCTCTTAACAAGCAGAAAAACCTGCCGACACATTTATTTGGCCAAAGAATTGGAATATTTTTGGAACAGTACACTGAATGAAATAATACACGACGTCAAGATTCTCATCACTATGCACCTCAACATCAAAACTTTACATCTTCACATCATTTAAAAATCCTCTCAGTTACGCATGTGACACGATGAGCGGTTCTATGGAGTCTTCCACAGACTTTCTTTTAAAGTAGAAGTACAATGCCAGTTGTACAATCCCCAGAACAGTTCCGATTCCATTTGGAACCTGAAAAATTAAGAGGCAATAATATTAACACATAAATGGCTAACTTTTATATAGAGGAAACATGTACTTGTGATCAATGTTGGGGGAAGCTTACGTAAATAAAGGCATCGAAGTTGAAGATGCCGTATAATAAGAAGGAGGTGCTCATCAAGAAAGTAGAGAGGGAGAGATAGAATGGCATGAATTCAACACTCTTTGTTCGAATTACTAAATTCTGCAAACAAAAATTTTCTAAGAGAACCAAACATTGAGAAAAAGAACGGTTAGTACTTTTGATCAACTCACAATTATAAACAATGGGGAAGCAAACATTGATATGAGAGAAGCACAACTCAGTAACCCGACAAAGATCCACCGTGCTTCTTGGTCGACTATCTGCAGGCTCCCAGCAACTATGATTGCAAGAAGGCCAAAAACCGCCAGTAGCAATCCAAGCATCTTCATCTGCAATCAACATAACGAATATGAACGACAGTGGAAAACAAGATAAATAAAATGCTCTCGAGAAGGAAATTAACCATAACAACAAATGCGTATATTTTTTAAAGAATAAGTAACCTTTTCCTTTCTATCAGCATATACAATGAAGAGGATAATGTAGGCTATCTGGAAAATTACACCAATTGAATTGACTGTCATAACCAGTACATTGTTATGTGATATTAATGGCGTGCCATACCACGTGCAGATCAAGCAGTTCAAGAGGGCATATACATAAGGCAATCCTGAAAAATGCTCTGTTGACTGGTTTCTGATGATTCTCCTAAATGTGGGTCTGAAAAGTTAAAGGAAATGCAATAATGAAACTAATCAGAGGAAATAAATGACAATCTATTCATTTTGACAACAAATACCTAGAAGTAGAACATACATGGGTGATACAAACAGCCCAAAAGCAAAGATGTTCCCTGCAATAAACAAGGATCAATATCAGAATAAAGTTGTTTTATATGATTTTTCCAATCAGAACTTGTACATAAAGCAAACAGCTCCTAATTTATAGCTTTTAATTATACTATATTTCCTCAACAAACCGAATACAGAGAATTACCAAATGGCATTTACAATTATGAATGAGTAAAAATGCTTAGATTTATTATCAAGTACAAAAGGCATATTGCTCAGTAACAATTCATTGGTGCATGCAAAGCATCCTTACCGGAGGCGGCAATACCATTCAGAACCAACAGACTTATGGTGGAAAAACAACAAACATGAAAAGGTAAAAGCATTATTTTTTCTTTTAGCACTATATTAAGCAACAAAAACTGTTCGAACAAAAAACATAAGCTACAAACAATGGATATCAGTATTTGAACTGCTTCAATTTCCATTTTAATGGCTCCAATTGTTTTGCAGAAATTGAGTGAACTCACGTTTTCTGCTGCAATAAGTCAGTTTTAAGCATCCATCACTATAACGCTTTCGATTTGCCAATAGGGGTACACACATAGCAAGGATCAAAAGCATAAATGGAATGCCAGGGTGTTCTAAACATTGACCAAGTAACAATTACTGTCTCATTCTTTAATTAGAAAATATTGCTTTCCAAATTCTAGCTCAGAGGTTTCTATTGTAGAATACTAAGTTAGAATCTAATGAATTCCTGCTCTAAATGAAAAAAAAAAAAAAAAAAAAAAGGAGTTCTTTCACATGAAAATAGGATTATTTGACGCAAAGACAAGGTAAACTGATTACAACTTTGAAAACTGTAAGAAATTGAAAATGATAACCCAGAAATAATTATTTCTCAACTCCTATTACTCCATAATTTCCAGCAATGAAGTACAAGATCCCAAATGAACTTATAGACAACAAAGAAGTAACACTTTTTTGACCCAAGAAAAGAAACAGTAACCCTTTGAAGGATAAATTCTGCATCTTTATGAAATAAATAATAAATTTTGAGCACTTTCAACAATTTCTTCAACTTTTAACAAAACCCATTTCCCAGCAAGTCTCTCATAATCAAAAAAAAAAAAAAGACTGATTCATTCAGAAAATGAAAAAAAAAAAAAAAGGCTTTCACAAAGAATGTAATCAAATCAGTCTCCAACAAAAAAAAAAATGTACATGAAATTCAATTTACAAAAAATAAATAAAAGAAAATAAAAGGAATCAGATTAACGAATGTTACCGGCGATACCAGCTGCATCTCTGCAAAGCGTGAAGGAATCGGTTGTAATAGACAAAAACATGAAAAAAGAAAATTTCTTACAGACTAAAAGATGAAAAAATAGGTACCAGAAAAAACAGACCAAAATCCAACTAAAACCACACCTAAACTGAATGTTGATTTGGCATGTGCTTGTTTTTTTTTTTTTTTTTTTCCTAAAAATGGGATTTATGGAGCTGGAAATTCGAAAAGTCCACTTTCAGACAAAACAAAAAGGGTTGATGAGCTGGCAAGTCAATCAGAACCATAGAGGATCTACTCCAATCTTCAAGTTTATTCCATATAGTTGTCAAATCTGATCCACTCAACGTTACGTTTTCAGGTTGAATCGTTTTTCAATATATATTTTGTAAATAAATAAAAATAATATGAGGAGGATCAAAGCGTAAAATTAATTAGTTTTATACTTTTTATAATATTATGCACAATTAATATTTTAACAAATTGATGTTGATTTTAATAATATCGTGTATTTTAAATTAATCTAATATCTCTATCATAATGATGAATAATATTGTAATTTTTTAATATATATTTAACTATTAAAATTATTTTATATTAAACAAATATTTGATATTTTTAGTTAATTCAAAATGTAATATACACAATTAATATGTATAACATGATTAAATAAAAATTAAATTAACTTTTATATAGTAATGAATTTCTTCTCAAATAATATATATTTCCCTGACAAAAAAAAAATATATATTTCCTATTTGAATTTTTTTACTATTATTTGTAGAAGCCAACTCGTTTTCTTAATACAATTCAACATTACACAACTTCTACTTCAAGTAACTTCATCATGAAACTTCCTTGCTTTGAAAATCTTTTTTTTTTTTTGTTCAAGCTGTCTTTTAAGGTAAATGATTAATCAAGCAACACCATTAAACTTTTTTTTTCTTTTACTTTTTAATCATTACTTAGCATAAGTTACAGTAATATGTTAGCATAAGTTGTCTTATAAACTTTTTAATGATTAATTAAGCAATTTATATATATATATAATAGAAAATTTGTAGCTTTATCTAATGGGTCATTTAGTTTGAAAGCTTAAATTTTGTAATAAAATATTTGAATTTTAAATTTATTATGCATGAAATTTACTATGAAACTTGTGAAAACATAATATTCATAAAATACATAATCTCTTAATTTTATTTATAAAATTTAAAAATTTCGTCAACCATGGCTGAATATTCCACTTTTTTAATGCATAAAAGCAGGCCTGAGAACGTGCTAAAAGCATATGCCCTAAGCCTAACAATTCCAAAACAATCCTCCTACATCAAATGAACAAGTGGAAGAAGAGGCTTGTCAAATTAATTTAAATAAATAAGAAGCAAGGTGGTTTGCATTTGAAACAAAATGATAATCCGTACAGAAATTAGCTTCACGAAAAAAAATATATGTTTAATTTTGTCACTCCTAATGTTAACTTGTCACCATAAAAAAATACGCCCACAAGGATCATTCTGATGCAATGGGTCAAGAATCCTTTCTACTATAAGCAAAAAGAAGCAGATTCAACCAATTCATTGATTTTGTTCCATTTATGATAATACTCAAAAACTTCATCTAACAAGAAACATCACTTGCACAGCTGCACTGTCTTTTTCATTTGGTACAGTATATTTTATTCACGTGAAAAATATTCTCAAATACAATTGGATCTTTATTATTATTATAATTCGAACTTATCATTATAATTATTATAATATAATTAATCATTTACAATTTAAAATTATATAAAACGCATTCTTATAATTAATTAGTAAATTTTTATATAATTTTTTTATTATAGTCGATTAATTATAGGTAAAATACTCTTATTTTATCTGTGTCTTAACACTTTATTTTTATATATCAGGCAAACGAGCAACCCTTCACTATGGAATTCTCCTTTTCCAGAAATTCGATCATTCTGTCATCTTCTTTCTTGATAGATAATTAGTTTCACTTACTTTATTGTTTAGGGGGTTTTCATAAGGAAAATTTCCTCTTGTTTTGATTGCTCGGAACACACCTAGAGTGACGAGGGAAGCAGTTAAGTGGTCCTGGATTGGTGTGGGCTTCACGATCATGAATAATAACGTTGGATTGCTATATTTAATAAATGTATTAATTGTATTGCTTTGCATATAACACGTATTTAATAAATATATTTGTTCGCATTTAAATTTTTTATATATTTAATTATTTATGTTGTTTTTGTGTTTTAATTATATTAGATTTAAATTTGTGTAATGTACAAGATGATAATTTTAATTTATAATAATTTTTTAAAATAAAATAAAAATAATAATATAAAAGGAGTTTGAGGAAAATTAAAATTGTATGCATGTTGAAGAATAATTTTAAATTTTTGATAATAAAAAATAAATAATTCTAATGAGAGTTTACTAATTATCAACACTATAAAACAATTAATTAAAGAAAAATAAAAAATAAATAGTTGAACTATTAAAGTATAACAATAATTCAATCATACTACAAAGCTAATATGAAATTCAACATTAAAAAAATTCTATGTAATGAAATAAAAAAGAAAATAATCTATTAATAAAAAATATTTATAGAAAAAATATTAAATGGAGTTTTACATTAAATTGTCTTAGGAAAAACGTAAATGTCATAAACCTTTTTATTTTTCAAAATTTATGTCATTTTTCATTCAATAAAAAAAAGCCATATATATTAATAAATGCAAAATCTCATGCCTTATAAGAAGTACCTTTTACAACTGTGCAGGTGGAGTTAAAAATTGAAAATTTACAATCCAATATTATTTTCTTTATCAGTTGAATTTTTATTTAAATTTTGAAATTAAAAGTTGATTAAAAGAAAATGCATAAAATATAATTGCATCCAATATAAAATAATCATCATAAAAAAAATGTATGTTAAAGAATAACTAAATTTATCAAAACCAAAAAAGACTTGAAACAAAATTATTAAAAAAATAAGACAGCAAAATTGTTAATACATTAAAAATTATATTTGTTTATTAATTCTAAAATAAAGAAATTAATAACTCAAAATAAATATTTATGTAACATAATGAATTATAGCATTTCAATCTATTAATAGAATTTAATGAAAGAAAACTATGTATTTAAACAAAGTAAAAGATATCGTTGTATTATATGGATATAATCATAAGCATGCATCGTATAAATCAAATAAGAATAAAAGTAATGGGTTAAAGGATATGGCAAGTGGCAACTAAGAAAATACCAATAGGAATTTAAACATATTATAGTCAACCGTGTAAGAAATTGATACAAAATCCTAATTGATTTTGTAAAGCAGGTTATTTTTAGTGGTTATTCTTTTATATTGATAATGTAAGGTAATTCAAGAATCTTATTTATCGAGATAAAGTGAAAAGTAAATTTTTTTTTTGAAATAAAGCAAAATATATATTAAATTCTAATGGTTAACTAACAATAACATTAAAATTAAGAGTAATTACACTAAAAATATTTCAATTAGTAATAATACTTATTTAATATATAAACACTCTTAAAATTATAAAGGTAATGAATTTTTTATTTATGTTTGGATATAATTAGCTCCACTTTATAATAAATAAAAAATAAAATCAATTGAAAAATATTTTTAACAATTTTTCATTTACGCTTGGATAGTAATTAGCTTCACTTTCTGGTAACATGAAATGATAATATCAAAGCAACAAACTTATCTAATGACTAAAACAAAAATAAAAAACCTTATCTTAAACAAAATCATTTCATATAAAAATTTTTTAAAAAAATACATACTTAGTACATATGATAGGATTAGTGATAGACAATCACTTTCTTTTAATCTACCAATTTGCTTGCTCTCTTATTTCATAATCCAAAAAGAGAAGAATAACGAGGATTTGATATACAAACCAATATCATAACAAAAACTTACAAAAAAGTATAAAATAATATGTACAAATATATTTTTAATTTAAATTGCAATAGAACTAAATAGCCAAAACATTAAAAAAATCCAAATCATTAATTCAAAAAATTTTGCTTAATTTCCTTGGAACCCAAACATATTATTTTTAAGGGAATTTATTTTCAAAAAATACTTATTATATGATTACAATGAAACATAACTTATTATACTCAAAAGAAAAAATAGAATAGTCACTAAAATAATACAAAACCAAACATAAAGTAATAAAAAACTTTAAGAAGTAATTGATTATATTAAATTTTGTGTATCCAAACCACTTGTATATAAAACATCACAAAGAATTGTGCATCTAATCTAACTTTATATATAATATTACAAAGAAAAAAAAAACTAAACTATTTATACTACATGGCAAAAGGAAAATCAAGACAATGAGAAAAAAATATTGAAACGATACAATCTGTTTCTTAAGCATCCAAAAATACCTTTACTTATATGATGGGTCTTGCTATCTTAGAAATAATTATGGAATGATTTATAATTTTTAAATAAATAATTGATTAAAATAAATTTAAGAACCAAATCAAGATCAATAATAGTATTTTAAATTGAGAGTAATTTATGCTTGACAATTATAATAATTAAACAATGTGTATTAACTTGCTTAGGAGAAATGAAAAAAGAAAGATTTTAAAATTAGTGTAATAATGATAACAAAATTCATTTGATGTTATATATACTAAAATTAATTTTAATTGATTTAATCATCTATTAATTATTTTAAAATAATATATATATATATATATATAACATAGTTTAAATGGCGAAGTAAATAAATAGGCGAAGTAAATAAATAGATCATAGATTAAAAAATTGGCAAATAAATTTTTTTTTTATACAAATGTAATTTAGGAGTTGAATATTTACAACTAGAAAAGAAGATAGACAAAATTATTCTATGACGATGGCAATTAAAGTTTTATTATCTTTAATATAAATTTAATTGAGAGTGATTTAAGATAAATAAGAACACATAAATGTAATAATTTTTAGAAGATACATGAGAAATTTTTAAAATTATCCACATGTCAATTATATAAGTTATCCACATTGAACAATTTCTTTTTTTTTTTTTGTCAAAATTTTTTACTTCTATATATTTATATAAAATATCAATTTGAATTTTAATAACTCATGTTGTATTTAAACATAAATGTCATGAGATACAATATAGATACAGGAATT